AGTAAAACTGCAGTGAAATAATGTCAAATAAGCTAGCTGATTGGGTGGATCATTCAAATATTTGTTAATTAGTCCTTTGTCAACCATCACAGAGGTATTTGTACCTCTAGGCATCAAGTATGCAAAAATGAATTAGATACTTCAGTATATTTGAAATTTTTTATAATAAATGTTGCCTTAATGGATTACACAGGTTCATTGACTTTGAGAATCCAACAGATTGGACCAGCAAGGTTTCCTGGAGGAGTGGACAGCTCAGCTGACTCTGGGCTAGTCAGATAGGAAAGAGCCAGGAAGAATGCTCTGGAGGGATGTTGAGAGATGGGAGAGTGGGGGGAGATGAGGTATAGAGGTATAAATCAAAGTTCAGGTTTGCATTGTCAGGTGTGCATTTTAGAAAAACCCCTTGATCATCATAGCTAAGGCTGAATTGGTGGAGGAAACCAGACAGAGATTTGGTGGGGTGGGGGGAGAGGTATGAGCATTGGCCATGCATGAAGCCAGGATCTGAACAATAGCAGGAGATCCAAAGATGAAGAGGGACAGATCAAGTGATAATCATGAGGAAGAATTAATGGGACTCAGGAACTGAAAGGCTGCGTGTGGTGTGAAGCAGAGGCAAGATGCTTCGGTGCTGTTTGGCTTCTCGTCATCCCCCTGTTTTTTCACCTAACAGCTTCCCAGTTTTTCTTTGAGAGCACAGCTGCTTACCTGCCCAACTGAGTATAGTTTCCATGGAACCGTTATCCACACATTCTTGTCTTCTTTGACTAAGAGGACGATTACATGACCTAAGCCAGGCCAGTCTTTCCCTCTTGGGAATTTGGATACCTTGGGCTTGGGCTTGATCCTAGATCCAGCCTTGATTTGTGTCTTTTTTAAAGCTTCCTACTTTAGTTTCTTCCTCCTTAATTTTGTATGCTACCCAAAGACTTTCTTTAAAAGTATTACTTTTTTACTTCAATCAGTTGTTTTCTATTGTTGCAACCAGAAAACCTCAACTAATTATAGTGGCAATGTAAATGGTGGTGCCTTTTCCTGAGAGACAGAAAAAAGGTAGAGGAGAAAATTTGAGGTGGGTTTCTTGGTGGGCAGTTTGCTTTTGAGAAGCCTCTAGAAAACCAAAGGGAAGAATCCAAAAGTTTGCCCCAGAGGCTTATGTGGAATCTGAAAATCACACCACAGAGTGTAAAAGCCATCTCTGGCAGTTAAACATAAAAAGTCCTACCCAACAAACTGACCTCCGAAGGACTTACTCATCTTACTCATGCTCCTCTGGGAAGAGTAATGCTTCCATGTAGAGGCTGACATATTCTAAAGATGCCTCAGAATTAGTGGGGGAAAGTGGATAGAGCCTAATTCTAGGCACTGGGAGCCCTTGGGTCTTGGCTCTGGTTCTTTCACTAATTAGCTTGATAAACTTGTACCAGTGCCCTTCCCTCTCTGAGACTCAGTTTGTGTGTTATTGAATACAGGGGCTGATTGATATTGGGTGGTCTCCAAAATATTCAAAAGAATTTTAAGTTTACATGTAAACTGGGAAACTGGGTTCAAAAAACCTTAAACCAGTTTCCTTACTACAAGACTTCTCAGGGTCATAAATATGCTCATCAGAGATGCAGATCTCCAAGAGAGGTGAAAGTGAGCATTTCTCACCCTGTTTTTGCCCAAGATCACCCCCCACCAACATTCTTGAAGAAACATGTAGAACTAGTAGTCGTCAGAACACACATGCAGAGATTTTGGATTAGGTGGTAGCTAAGAGTGTTCCACTTACACTCCCTGATTCTGTATGGCTGGTGTCCTGTGTACCTCCTGTTTTCCCCACTTGTCCCTTCCTCCGGGATGATGGACTCCCAGGCTCTGTTCTAAAGTGTTCTCCCAAGGAAAAGCAAGTACGCTTGAATGCCTATGAAGTCACTTAAAGATCTAGTCAGACTCATGAAATCCCCCATCAGCTTAAATGGAAAACACAGTCCTTGCCCCCCCCCTTCGCCCCCACCCATTGTACTGTGCTCAGAGCTCAGACCCAGGCCCAGCCTAAAGGGATTGCAAAACATGCTCTAGCGTGGACTTGGGAAAACAAAGAAAACTCTACTCTTTTCTCCTCCAGACAGTCTGAGACGCTTTTGTGCCCTTGGGCTTTTGCCCAGTTCTCTCATCTGCCTCAGTCCTGGTACTAAATTGGTTCAAGGTTTGGAGGAAAGTTTCAGAGGAAAGGATGTTTAGAGTTCTTAGAAGCTGAAGTCACTCTATGGACCAGAGCATAGACCACCTATGGCCACCAGAGGGCGATGACAACAGCTTCGTGTAGAAAGCTGCTCCCAAGAATAACAGCAGTAAATTACACCTAATGTGTTTATGAATGATGGAGGGGCTGAAGTGTGTGCGACTATACATGTATGTGCAGTTGGATGCCTGCAGCTATGATTCTGAAAACATGCTAAATAGAATAAAATAAAAGCTGCACCTCTACTATATATTCACAGGATATGGCCAAGTCGTTGAAAATTTCCTTGAAGGAAAATGAGGTAGAAGGAATTAGAATAGCATTCATAATTGTAATTGTGGTATGCGTGATTGTGTGTGGTGTGAGAGTATGCATATACACGTGTGTATTTGAGTGTGAATGTGTAGATGGATGTGTGTGTGTGAGCCTGAGTGTAAGCATGCGTGTGCACAAGTGTGTGTGCACACGCATGTTCAGGGCTCATTTAGACTTTGCCAGTATGAGCAGACTTCAAGGAAGTCTGGGCAATGTTTCCTACAGTTCCTGCCCTCTCCCTCCAAACAAACAAACAAAATCATTCCTACAAGTATTTATGGAGCCTCTAACACACGCGCCCCTCCCCACCAGCATCTGGAAAAGCTCAGACCTGGCCAATTTAGAGCGCTATGGAAGAATGAAGGCTCTGGGGGCTGAAGGGATGTCTCACATGCGAATGACTGTTTTGCAAAAAACACTTTCTCTTCTTTGATGCTCAAAACATCCCAGTGAGGTGTGCCCAGACAGAGCTGTGGCCCCTTGCTTTGAGGAAACCAAGGCTCAGAGGTGATGTGATTGGCCCAGAGTCATCCAGTCAGGAAGCAGAAGCTGACTATGAACAGGCATTGTCAATCCAGGGGTCCAAGTCCCTGCCATCACTACTTTGAGCAGCACAGCTGGCACTGGGTCTAGGCAGAGCAGGACATGTCTCCGAGTAGGGGTTGACAGCAGCGACCTAAACAACACGGACAACCATTTTATGTGACACATGTGACTGTGAAGTGTGTTAGTATCAATACAATAGGTCCTTTAGGAAGAACTTGGATCTTTGCCAAGATGAGGTAGGATCTTTGCCAAGGTGAAGTAGGATCTTTGAGGATCTTTGTAGATGAGGTAAGGACGAAGCTCCTATCGGCTGTGATGTAAAACATGAGTGAATGTGAGTGCTGCGGTTTGGGGTACCTAGCAGCTGTGTGGCCTTGGGCAAGTCACTTGACTTCTCTGAGCTTTATTTCATCTATAAAACACGGTACTCAGATGCCCCCTTGCGGGACGCTGTTGGAATGGAAGGAAGGACTAGGAGCAGAGTGCCTAGCTCAGTGCCAGAATAAAGAAAAAGTGCCACCAGCGAGAACAATCCTTAGCTCCTTAAAAGTTAATGGATCTCAATTCTGGGGCCCTCCTGGCGAAGCCCCTTTCCTTCCCTCATCTCCTGCCTCCTCCCCTCCACGCTCTCAGTTGCTCCAGCAAAGTTCCCAACTTAGTCGACATGACGCGCGGCTCAGCCAATGGGAGGCGGAGCTGGCGGTTTTGGGGG